CCCCAAAACCCCAAAACCCCAAAACCCCAAAACCCCAAAACCCCGAGAGGGGGTTCCCGCGTTGAGTCATTATTAAAGCCATAAGAATATTTATTATTAAATTTATTCCAGATTTTTTGAACATGGGTTGGTGATGATAAATTTACTGAAACAGATGTAAAATATTAAACGGCTAAGGATATCTCCCACCCAAATGACCCATATCAGGAGAAGAAGCAGACAAACTAGAAGCTAGGACAAGCAATTATCGCTATCAATTATTGTATTTGATTTGATTTGTTGGAAAATAAATTTGAATTCTCTGCCTTGGTTATATCATCATCAAAAATATCTCTATGGTTGTTGAGAACCTTAGACAGAGCTGGAATAGCCTTCAGTAGAGGAGATTTCACCATAAATGGAGAGGAAATCATTCCTCTTGACAATCAAAGATCTTTTGTGGGAGATAAAAAGTTATTTTCATTGATTGGCGAGTAGTTTGAGTTCAGATTACTAAAATCTTTTCAAGCACTTCTCTTTGCAGGCATCTTTTCAAGCTCTCTAGGCTGATGGCTTATCTTTGAAATATGTTTCTTCTCGTCGCTGTCAATACAAGAGCGCCAAATATTTCTGAAATTATCTTGCAAGGGAGAGAGTTCATTTGCCTCAAATTTTACTTCTCCGCCAATTTCAGATTCGTAATCCTCAGCTAAGATATTACGGTGAGACCCGAGGAATTTTGTAATAGGAGCAATGTCTTGTTCAAAATCCTTCTCTTCATACATACTCAAGTGGATAGGGCTCTTGCTATCACAGCTATCAAAGCAGTTCTTATATAACATTTTGTCCAAGATGCTCGAATTATTAGCTTCTCCTCTGAGCGGGGTGTTAAACTGGGAAAGATTTTCTCTTCGAGAGTTAATCTCTTCCTCTTTTATCTCATTCATATTCAAAATTGAATGATTCTCTTTATCAAAATTTGGAGAGAGTAGCCTCTTTCTCATGGCTTTCTTCTCTCTCTTAGACATCTTTGACTGAGAAATCTTTGAAGGGGTATCAATCGACGAATCAATAATGGTCTTTTCTTTGCATTGTAATTGTAACTCTCCTTCTGATTTCTTTGTCAAATTTCTCTGTGGAATGGTCATTTTAGACTCTGATTTCTTCGGGACCAAGATTTTTGAAATCTTGTCCTTATACAAAGCTGCTCTGACCTGGTTATAGCAAGTGTTTCCAAGCATCTCCTTGACTTCGTTCTCTTTAAGGTTACTAAAATATTTGAGAACACTACTTACTTCTTGATGTCATGAAGCTCTGCAAGGACATGATTATCATTATAAAAAGAGGGGATCAGCTCAGAATTAATCATGAGAGACTTGCGATCATCCCCAACTGAAACATCATACTCAGTATCTTTGTCTAGCTTGCAGAGAATAAAAGGAAGCTTAACTTTCTTTGTATCCCCAAGGATGTTAAACTGCTCTGAGCAGTTCTTGACGACTAACTTTTTGAGAAGAAACATCTATATTATACAAATTAATCCGAATTTGTTAGAAATTTTTGAATGGTTATTCTGAGAAACATGCCATTTTTAAGGAAAATTTTAATTATGATAACTAAAAAGTAATGTTTTTGCTAAAAATTATAGGATTAAATGACTTAAAGCTTTAGCGGTTATATACATTGCTTTAATCAATCATAAGAATAAAAAATTTAAGCTAAATTTGAACCCTTTTATGAACCAAAATTCTCGAACATATATATCCCGAAAATCAAGACTTATACTAACATATTTTATGCTAAAACATTGATTTTAGGAGTTAACTTCGAAGTTGGTAGTTATTCTTGATTTATCAAGAGTTTGAAAATAAACCTCTAATTTTTTCAGTATTAAGAATCTTATCAAAGACGAACTACTAGTAAGACAACAATTATAATCTAAACTGAATCTTTCATAAATTATTGATATACTCATAAAATACTTTAGAAGCATGCAGATTCATCTTTCAAACCTGAAAACATTATCGAAAGATGCTTGCTTGGCATTATTTTCAATCCAAAATTTTCTCATAAGTTTAATTTTGTTAGAATAATTAAAGTGCTTCCTATCGAACCTAGCCTAAGAAAATTTATCTTCAAACCGAGCTATAACTCACAGCAAAAGGATGTTCAGCAACTATTTTGTCGAAAACAGATATAAATAGAAGGTTTCGTGCTTTAACAAGAATCAGAACTAGGAGCATATTTTATCCTCTCAGGACGTTTTCAAATCAAGATGTTTTAAGAAATAGTAACTACCTAGCAATCAATTTTAAACTTGAGTGCAGGATAAATGAGGATATTTGATGAAAACAAGCTATTTTGATTTCTATCAACTAAATTTATACTCCATAGCTCCGGTCCCCTCACTGAAATATATATTCTGTTTGCTATTCTTTGAGACAAATAATTCAAATTACTTCTTTTTTCAAACCTCCAAGGATTTAAATATTTCAAATGTCTTCCTGAAAAACAGAGCAAAACACTAATTTTCCTTGGCTATGTACAGGTATTCATATTTCACACGAAATTGTGCAAAAACAGCCAATATATTTTGTGAGAAAGAAGCCTCAACTCCAGCAAAGATTCAGCTGATAAAGTCAAACTCTAAGACTAAATACAGTTCCAAAGGCATCAGATGATTGCTCAAGCTAGGGGATTTGAGAACTGACAAATTCAGATAGTACCAAACTCTAATCAAGCATGAAAATAAGTTCATAAGTATTTTTCATACATTTTGATATTTCCCGAAACAAAAATCATACGTATAAGGCAAGTGATTCTAAAATTTGGGCTGATGAGAAAGAAGCAGCTAAATGAGAATAATAATATCAACGCTACACAGTGATCTAACCTAAGCAGGGGTTTGAGTAGTTGGGGAAATCACCAGAGATTATATATATTGATCCTAAAAATCGGTAACTACCTGCAGAGCCTTCTCCTTAATCAAATTTCTTCTATGCTGTATTGATTCCATCTTTTTGTCGACTTTAGTCTATGAAAAAATTTATCACTCTAATTACAAGAAATGGTATTAAAATTTGAATTTAAACTAAGATTCTTAGCGTTCAAATGCAGAATTTTACCTGGAGAGCCTTCATATCATCACTCATAACTCTTTGATTCACAGGAGATTTAACTGGCTGTTTCACAGGCTCGAGTTTTATAGGAATAGTGCTCCCATCTTTCTTCAAATATTCCAAGCCGTGCTCAGTGATGGAAACTTTGTTCTTTGATTTTTTTACGATATTCAATGCTGAGAAGACATTCAAAGCGTCATAAACTCTCCTCTGAACATTTTTAAAGTCAAGTTTCTACAGGAGCCATCAGTGAATGTTACAAGTGAATTATTTGAGTCATTTCCACTCAAAGGATTAAACACTTGGAAAAGAAATTGCTAATTTATATGATTTTGATTTAAATTATGAATAGAATTTAACATTGGAGTTGTTTTATTGAGAGATAAGAGCATCCTCGCCAACTAATAACAAGAAATAATCACAAAAATCAAAGCTATGAACGAATAAATTACCTTTCCTTCCTCTTTTGCTAATATGTCCATTATCTGGTATGCTATCTAAAGAAAAAGTTAGTTTGCCAATATCTTCAATCAGAGAAGGCTCCACTGTGTAGCACTAGCGGATGATTAAAGGATGGCTTACCTCTGTACCTGTACTTTCCTTACGACTCTTCAATCAAACAAGTACCTTCCTGCTGAGGGCAACCAATTTCTTATCGCTCTTACCCTTTTTAGAGTTCTTTGGTGTTGATTTCCCCTTGGATCTGTACAAAAAATATAAACTAACCCTAAAGTCATTCCAAAACAACTGCGAAGAAATATCAAAGGTAACTTACTTCTTAGCCCTCTTGGCCTTCTTCTGCAAAGGCTTAGCTGTGGTGCCATCTTTAATATCTTCTCTACTCATTTAAATTGTGGGACTTTATTCAATTTTAAAATTGAATAAAGGGGTTTTGGGGTTTTGGGGTTTTGGGGTTTTGGGG